GATGTCATCACTAAATAGAACTAATTACTTCTCAACCCTTGAGCTATAGGGCCGCGTTCATTACTTTGCGGCAGCGCTCCACCCTGCGTTCGACGCGGTCCGGCAGCCACATCAGAGACGCAGGAAGGTATAGATATCATCTAGCGCCTGTCAACGTCTTCCAGCGTCCTCCAGCGTCTACCAGCGTGCGCCAGCGTCTCGAGGGCTAAGAAAGTATATTTATCGATCTAGCGTCTACCAGCGTCCGGGACAGGAGAATGGCGCGATAGGAGGGTAGCAGATAGCTGATAGCCTCTATCGCGCCAGACTCTCTAACTGCCGTCTGCTACCCTCCTTAGTGCCCTACTCTACCAGTTGTATGCTACCCTCCTATCGCGCCATATACCCTCTCCTGGACATTGGTAGAGGCTGGTGCAAGGTGGCAGACCTGGATCGATACCTACACATCCCTACCCTCGAGACGCTTCAGCCCACTGTCGTGGGACGTACTAGACGCTGACGCAGTTGCTGACGCCGCCGGATACTCGGAACGCTGTGGGCGCTGCCGCAAAGTATGAACGCAGCCTAACCCTTGAGCACAACCTCACTTTTCTAATGGAGGCGGTATTGTTGTTGTAGTTGTTGTAGGAGGAGGAGGTGGCGGTGTAGGGCGGTGAGCAGGAAAACGAGGGGGTGGAGGAGGAACAGTGCTGGAGATTTTGGGCACGAAAATGGTGGTCCCAAACCTTGGCAATTCATTGCGAACAGTCTCCTTTGAATGTGAACGATGAATTTCAACACGCGACCGTTCGGTAGTAGGATCGGGTACCTGAAACGAGTAAGTCCTCTTTAGCTTGCAATAGTAGCGCTAGAATACGATTGAGAAGCTTAAAGGCACATTCCGCGATAAAATAAGGCTATGACCTCTCAAATGTGTCGGACGATCCGGAAGGCGATTTTGAGGCTGCGCTACTTTCAAAATGTGAAAAACGGCAAGAACTCCGCTAGAAGCTGACTAATTAGGCCCATGGACACCCCTTAGGGCCCATGCCGACCCTCACCGGCTGCTAGCTACTAGCTAGTAGCCACTATGTTATCTTTCTCTATAACATTTCGGACTGCTTTTTCCATGCTTGCCTTTTTTTCTCTTCGCTATCAGATACTTAACACTTTTTTTGTGCTGTTTGAGTTCCGTTTCCGCGCAATTTGCGGTCGCACTGCTGCTTTAAGAGGTAAGCATTTTGCGTCGAATGCTTATTTAAAGGCACAGTTCGCGACCGCAAATTGCGGGAAACGGAACTCAAATAGGCACAAAAAGTGCTAAGTATCTGATTAGCGGAGAAAAGCAGCAGAAAAAGCAGTCCGAAATGTTATAGAGAAAGATAACATAGTGGCTACTAGCTAGTAGCTAGCAGCCGGTGAGGGTCGGCATGGGCCTAAGGGGTGTCCATGGGCCTAATTAGTCAGCTTCTAGCGGAAGCACGTCTTGCCGTTTCTTTAAATTTGAGAGATAGCGCAGCGGTCAAAAATCGCCATTCCGGAGGGTGTCGACACAGTTAGAGGTCATTTAGCTATATTTTATCGCGGAATTGTGGCTTAATCTGTGTAATACTACTGGTGATCGGGTGGCTTTTCTGAGTTTTTTTTTAGTTGAATGGAATCTAATCAATTATTCAATGGCAAGTGGAACGATAGATCCCTGAGCTGTGCTACGTCTAGCAGGACAAATTTCGGCGTTCTTGCAGGCGCTGGCGTCATTTTCTTCAGGGGTACCTTACAGCGCTCTTCGAGCAGCAAACAATCCTGAAGTTCCGCTGGCGGACGGTTGGGCCGTGTCAGCCAGTATGAGTGTGTCACCCGTCTGACTATGAGCCATTCTCTGCCTTTCCTGCTGAACAGCATGTGAGCGAAAATGGCTAGAAAACGAGTAATTACGAAGGATGATAGATACAGTACTGTCACTTGTCCGCTTGCAAAACTATTATTGGCGGAATAGGGAATGGACGGCTTGGCCACCACGCCAAACGCAGCATTGCTGACACGCCCACCGGTCCGAAATGCATAGGACTGGTTGACGCCTGCCACGTATCTAACTCATATATGCATGCGCACCGCGGCCTGACTTGTACTGCTTCATTGCCAAAATAAAATATAGATCGAAGCGATTGATATGAGGCGACTGCGGTGCTGCATGGATATATGAGTAGATACGTGCAGGCGCACAGTCCTCATCATTTCGGACCCGGTGGGGAGCGCGGCCGCGTTTGGCGCGGTGCCAAAGTCGTTCTGCACCAGTTGTTGAAGCGGGCAAGTGACATTACTGTATTATATCCTTCGTATTACTCGTTTTCTACCACTTTTTGTCGCATACGCGTTTCAACAAAAAGGCTGAGAAGGGCTTCACAGTGTGCACACTCATACTGGACCACGCCCACCGGTCCGCAATGATGAGCGACTCTATATCTGCACCGTAGCGGTAATTACCACGATGCCCACGGAAAACTCGTCCGAAACTGCTTTTGAGATCATAAAGAACGAAGGCTTTTCTTTGCAGAGTTGTGAGGTTTTATTGATGTTTTCGCTATTTTCAATATATCCAATTTACATACCCCCCCCCCCCCCCCCCCCCCCCCCCCCCCCCCCCCCCCCCCCCCCCCCCCCCCCCCCCCCCCCCCCCCCCCCTTATGCCTAGCAGAATCGATACCCATTATCGCTCTTTATTGACCTTGGAAGAGCGCGCCTCCGCGTTCATCTGAAGTTCATATGTTCTCTTTGCTCATGATAACCCTGCCTGCAAGCATGGAGGGTGCACTGCTTTTGCAGCTCTCGAAACATATGAGGAAAGAAAAACGCTCGCAGCAGGTCACGGTCTCCTCTGGCCACGAGCAACGGCCAACTTTCAGTATTAAAGGCTTCCTGGTAGTCCTGTTGTTCCACTGCTAACTGTGCTTTTTGAACAGTTTGAGTGAGGTGATAGGGAAAACGAGCTGGGACCGACGAGCGCGAACTTATACAACCACGCCCATTATATTCGTCTTATGCACTTGCAAGCTCGGTTCAGCGGGGTTCTATAAGGGGCATTTCCGACAGGTTTTTTTCGCTTTTTCTCTTCACTGCTCTATTATTCAAACGCGAGCGCGTCTTTGACAACTGAAGTGTAAGATCGTGAAACCTCGGACCAAGTCTACATTCTACTCCCACTTGAAGAGCGCTAAAACTTAACGTGCTTCCATACGGCGCTAATTCTTGGCAGTTGATCGCCTTGGCGTCTGCATCTGCCTGCTAATGGAGATCGGTAGCACGGAATCTAAGTAGTTCTTGGAGTAGGTGTTTCCTTGATAACAATCGATGAAGTATACTCGAAATTCCTGAGATACGGTAGATGTGGCTGTGAACTTTCACCAAAGGTGGCGGTATCTATGCTTTCGGAGAGATATTTTCATATTTTTTCACGTCGTCTCTGACCGAAACCAGATGCAAGGTGATAATTGTCTCAAACTGAAATATCCACGAATAACTATTCTGTGGCAATGTTCCAAATGCCCTGCCTACTCCGTCTCAGGGATAAGAGATGTATTATAGTTGTAGAGATGCAAGGATACTAGATGATATCAGGCTCGAGTCCGTAGTTGCCAGCTGTAATATTGGCAGTTAGATGCGACGTTCAGAGGTTACCGTCCCCCCAAAATTGCATGCCCTCTGTCACCGTCGCTGGGTACTATGTACATAAAGCTTTGTGCGCAAAGGGCATCGCAGCTTTTGAGCATTGTATCTGTTTGCGGAGGATTAAAGTTCACCGAAACTACGCGGTGATCCCTTGGTTGACGTATGCCTTTCACATATGACGCAACTCGAATCTCCACCACTATGAGGCTACTGGACTTTGATCCTATGGCAAAAGAAAAGACCTGAGCTTTGAAGCAAATTGTCCAGTTTGAAGGAACATTGCAATTAAGGGAGAAGTCATACACCTCAGCAAGAGTTTGACCCAAGTCTGCATGTAACAAGGATGTGCCTTTCTGCGGCTGAAACGAAGCTGGGATGTGAGCTGCGAGCTGCACCAGCGGGGATTATGATCTCCGTGAGGACGTGTTGTCCATATGCATACTCGTTCCTCTGTTTACTCGTTTGTCTGGCCTGGTTATAACATCTTGAACTTTTGTGCATGGCCCTGTTACGAGACCCTGTGACGCAACGGATAGAGGGCAGCGGCTGCCAAAGCATCGACACGTGCAAAAAACGTATGGCGAACCAGGAAGTGAGATTTTTCAAGGGGAGGGGACTCCGGGGTGGGTGAGCTAGTTGTAGCCGGTAAAAACTGGGGCGAGCGAAGTCATAACGGCCATAGAGAGCCATGCGAACGAGAGAGTGCAGAGAAAAAGAGAAGATCGACGCGTTCAAAGGTATCGAGTTCAAGTTGTCCGTAGACCGGTTATAAGACATTTAAAACATTTGGTAGGGTACTGGCGCGAAGGGTAAGAGCCCAGAGAAATAGGGGCTTTGGCAGCCAAGGTATTCAGACAATATCATGCAGAGGAGAGAGCACAGAGCAAATCGGGGTCTATGGACAACTTGAACTTAATCCCTTTGAATGCGTCAATCATCTGTTTTTCTCAGCACTCTCTCGTCCTTGTTAGTCTCTGTGATGAGTGCCCCCTTGTATTCGTTTTTCCCACATGGGGAAGTGGCTCACCCACCCCGAAGTCCCCTCTTCTTGGGAAAGCTCAAACCAAGGCTCGCTGCTTCTGTTTGTTTCTTGCTGGCAGTCGCTGTCCTCTATTGGTCTGCGCTACAAGGTTTCGCAACAGGATCACTACCAAAAGTTCAAGATGTCAAGTAACGGAAAATCAGGAGAAAGACTCCAATAGAGGGATCGACTCCAAGATGAACGTGAACCGTCTGTTCTCTCGCCATCACCGCAGTCTCTGCTCTTGGCATATTCGTACAATACTTCAAATCAAAGGGGTCCCGTTGAGGGCACTTTGGCTGGAGCTGAGATTCTTTTCAAATTGACTTGTAGCTTAGAAAATCAATCGATCACTCACAAAAACCTTGTTGGTAGTGATGTGAATTCTCGGTGGAGCAGTTGAGGTAGTCGTTGAAGAAATCTGAAACAGAAGTAATTGTTCCATACTTATTTATATTTTGACTGATTATGTATGTTTGGATTTACATTTCCCCAAAATTCAAAAAAAGCAAGTTCTCAAGAGTTACTTAACACGTTGACGACAACGCGCGTTTTTACTTTTTGGCCGCGTGGGACACGCGCGCTTTCTCGAACGCAACCAGCGCGGTACATACACAGTTCACACGGTCCCACGAGGCGCTTTTTTACTTTCACCTTTTTTTACTTTTTTACTTTCACTTTTTCACTTAACAC